GAGTTCGATTCTCGACTCAGCCCTCGTAAGGGTGAGTTTGGGCACAGTGGTAGGTGCGGCTGGCGGATGTAGATAGCTACGGAAACCAGGTAGTGCAGATCCCTCGGAAGCTAGGCAAACTGGGCCATGTGCAAACCGTCGGTCACTGGGAAATGGTATAGCTGGTCGAGACGCATGAAGCACTCGAGTGCTCGACCCCGCACCCCTGGACAAAGATTACAGTCAGTTGGTGAACTCTTCACTCGCGTGACTAATCGTTTAGGCTACATCCTTCACGGGCTCATTCCGTCCAACAGTGGACATGGGGTGAGGGGAACGAGCATGATGGAGGGGCAGTGAAGCCGTTAATCAGCGAAAGATGTAGCTGTTAATCCTGACTACGCCTGAATATATGGAGCAGATAGAGCGAAAAACTTTTTACACTTCTCGATTTGTGCGTGTCATCCTTGCGCAGGGGCCATGCTAATCTTCTCTGTATCGTTCCAATTTTATCGGATACCCCCGAGGGGGTCCACCAAAACATCGCGTTCATAAAGTGCTACTCTATAATTTCAAGGACGTTCCGATTGGTGTGGTATGAGTCAAAATATTCATCAGTGAATTCCCTGCGCATCACGGGTGAATCTCGTTGTCACGGCCGAATTTCGTTGTTGAGTTGGCCGTTTAACTCAGTCGGTTAGAGCATCGTGCTAATAACGGGGGGCGCAGGCAAGAGTCTTGCACGAAGCACTAGCATGGCTTACTCATTGCACTATCCAAGTGATTAAGTTCACATCAACTTTTTACTCGCTTTGTAAGAAATCCATTCGTGTGAAATTCCTGACCTGCGTTGAACGTTCGGCTTATGAAATGCAATCGCCTCAATTTCGAGCTCTTCGCTCGATTCCCAGACTCCCCTTACCCTGCCCAATGTGGGCTGTTGTTCGTAGAGTTCGAGATCGCCTCGTGCAAAGGAAATCCGTGTGAAGTTCACGAAGAATTCTGTTCCTGTGTACCCTTGATGATGCCAGCCACAAATTGACTACAACTGAAAAGTGCATTGAGGAGATGTGTTGGAAAAGATCACTGTTGGTGACTGGTGACACCGGGAGTTGTACAAAAGAATGTAAACTATCACTCTTCCTCTCATTCACAGGCCAGTGTGTCACCAATCACAACCTCGGAGGTTTCTCTGCACCGATCTATCAAAACATGACATTCCAAAACATCCATCTGACAACGGTTGCCCGCCAAAATCCGTGGTAGATAACAAAAGAAAATGGTCATGTTATGAGCGACTTTCGGGGACCAGCTTGTGAGGCTTAACGATATGATGGCTGTGTGGTCTAGTGGTATGATTCTCGCTTCGGGTGCGAGAGGTCTCGAGTTCGATTCTCGACTCAGCCCTCGTAAGGGTGAGTTTGGGCACAGTGGTAGGTGCGGCTGGCGGATGTAGATAGCTACGGAAACCAGGTAGTGCAGATCCCTCCGGAAGCTAGGCAAACTGGGCCATGTGCAAACCGTCGGTCACTGGGAAATGGTATAGCTGGTCGAGACGCATGAAGCACTCGAGTGCTCGACCCCGCACCCCTGGACAAAGATTACAGTCAGTTGGTGAACTCTTCACTCGCGTGACTAATCGTTTAGGCTACATCCTTCACGGGCTCATTCCGTCCAACAGTGGACATGGGGTGAGGGGAACGAGCATGATGGAGGGGCAGTGAAGCCGTTAATCAGCGAAAGATGTAGCTGTTAATCCTGACTACGCCTGAATATATGGAGCAGATAGAGCGAAAAACTTTTTACACTTCTCGATTTGTGCGTGTCATCCTTGCGCAGGGGCCATGCTAATCTTCTCTGTATCGTTCCAATTTTATCGGATACCCCCGAGGGGGTCCACCAAAACATCGCGTTCATAAAGTGCTACTCTATAATTTCAAGGACGTTCCGATTGGTGTGGTATGAGTCAAAATATTCATCAGTGAATTCCCTGCGCATCACGGGTGAATCTCGTTGTCACGGCCGAATTTCGTTGTTGAGTTGGCCGTTTAACTCAGTCGGTTAGAGCATCGTGCTAATAACGGGGGGCGCAGGCAAGAGTCTTGCACGAAGCACTAGCATGGCTTACTCATTGCACTATCCAAGTGATTAAGTTCACATCAACTTTTTACTCGCTTTGTAAGAAATCCATTCGTGTGAAATTCCTGACCTGCGTTGAACGTTCGGCTTATGAAATGCAATCGCCTCAATTTCGAGCTCTTCGCTCGATTCCCAGACTCCCCTTACCCTGCCCCATGTGGGCTGTTGTTCGTAGAGTTCGAGATCGCCTCGTGCAAAGG